TTTGAGTAACTCATATAATTGGAGTTATCTAATATTTCAATGATTTTCTTAAATACAATAGAATCTTTGAATAAAAGGGGAAAAAAAAGATTCTGGCTGGATTTTCTGCATCAGGGATGTAAGTTAAAACAAACAAATAAACAAACAAAAATCATTTTGGTCCTTCACATGTAAATGATCTTCTATTTATTTTAAAATGTAGTTTTTATTTATTTTAGGCAATCCTCATTTGGTTTTAATAACTTGATTAGAAAGCAGACACGAACCAAAGAAGGTATTTATTAAAATGTAAATTAAACTTGCTTGAAAGAAAAAAAAGAGGCAGAAAAAAATATTAAAATAAATGTTCTTGGGTTATAGGAGGTTGAGGTTTGAATCTTTTGGAGATTCAGAGAACAGAACTGGCATCTTTGCAGTTCTCCCTCCCATTCATCAGAGTACCCTCTTCTTTCAGACTCAGAACCTCAGTGCCAGATTTAATATTTTCTCTCTTCACCCTTTGTATCCAAAATGCTCACATCTCACCCTTTCTTTCTTTCAAACATGTCGCTGATTTACAACTTAATGGAAATTCTCCAGATGGAGGATGTTACCACCTCTTGGCTGAAATCTCACCTGCAACCTACAAAGTGTTCTTTCTGCCACCAGTATCTGGCCCTTCAAATTTGCCTGGCCCACAGCTGTCATTTTACTCATTACTAAACACCAGTAGACTGCTAACCACAAGGTTGGTGATTCAGACCCACCTCCTTGGAAACCCTGTCCAGGGCCGCTATGAATCAAAGCCGACTGCAAAGCCGGCACTTTAACAACAAACGCCACCGTGCTATTTTCGTCATTGTTTCGGCTGCTCACTGAGCATAATCATTGGTGCCTCTAAGAAAGTTCAAATTTCTTTTTCTGCCTGCTAATGGGGTCCTCTCTCTTTCCTTGTCTCTTTCTACCTATCCCTATCACTGTGTCTGTCTGTCTTTCTAGCTCAGTCACACACACCTATATCCATTTCAATGTTGCTTTTCACTGTTCCCCAAATACATCATTCATTATAGTTAATCAAGTATTCTATTTCATAACAACCCCACTCTATGTACTGGTGCTCGTCCCCTTTCCAAATACATGCCACCATTCACCTTCTATCACCAACCAGGTCTTTCCCTTCTTCATTTCTTCTTTCCAAATTATCCTTTTCATTCAAGAATTTCCTCAGATGCCACCTTTCCAATGAAGCCTCCTCTAATGCTTCTAACCCCCAAATTTGCTGATGTCCTCTTTCATTTAAAATCAGACAATATATTACTTTATTTATATGATAGTCCATGTTTCTCAATGTGTGTAACTATCTTGGCATTGTAGGACATTTGGCATCCCTGGCTCCTGAATGCGGATAGTGATGCTATTGTGACAAACCCAAATGTTCTCAGTACACTTTCCAATGTGCTGAGTATAAAGGTGGTGGTGGTGGTTATGTTCAGTGGAATAGGTTCTGAGTCATAGTGACCTTGTATACCATTTCCGAAGCTATAAATCTTCACAGGAGCAGAAAGCCTCGTCTTTCTATCCTGGAACAAGTAGTTTTGAACTGCTGATTTTGCAGTTAGTAGCCAGATTCATAACCACTACGCTACCATAGCATCTATACAACAGATGATCTTTGTTTAAATAATAAATATGTATTTTTAGAACAAAAAATATTTTTTCCAATACTTTCCTTATAGGTGACAACATACGTACACACACACACA